CCTTCTTGCATCAACACAAGGTCATGCAGGGTGAAACTCCGCGGGCCCCGAGGGTGCGACGTGGGGCGGGGGCTCGGGCAGGGGCGTGGGCGCCAATTGCCCGCTCCCCTTCTCGAGGCCCCCCCCGCGACTTCTCGCGAGGGACTGGCCGCCGCGTTCTCCCATCGCCCATCGCCGGCGGGGGTCGGATCCAAGCTTGAAATTTGAATGTGTTGGGCCCAGGTACCTTCCCAGAAACACTCGTCATGAGAGCGCTCGGGTCTTGTCAATCACTTTGTTTTCGTTCTCGTCCGAGGTCGTCAGCGCCATTATCCAGGCGCAGACGGCTCCCCTGGCGGAACTGGCAGATGCATTGGACATTGTCAAATCTGCAAAGGAGGAACCTGGGGACCCATGCAAAAACTAACTGCCACAGTCACTTCCAAATGTCAGTGGCACACTGGACGAGGATGGGGAGGAGGAGGAGGTGAAGGAGGAAGATGAGGAAGGGAAGGATCCATGATCACGAAATGGAGGAGGACGTGTTCCAGACAGTAGGGCGGAATTTTCCCCGCGCGCGCGGGCGGAGAAGGAGGGGGTGGAGGAAAGCGAGTGGGAGACAACAGCTTGAAAATCAGCAGCTCCAGCTCTGGAGCTGGGTCCGGGCACGGGAAAACGAGGTGCAATCGGGTCGCGTTCGGTTCGCAAAGCGGACCAATTTTCACCAGTGGTCCATTTCGCCTTTACTGTCCTCAATTTGATTTCATGCTTAGACCAGGAGACAGCGGCTGGCCATGTAGCTCCCACGATACACATTCTGGCCAACACACCTGTGGGTTCAGAGCTGGTTGAATTCGCCTTGGCGCAGAAGACGCTCAGGAAAGACGAGGAGATGTTCGAGGCCAAGCTGGGCGCCATCTCCGCGAAGATCGACCCGACGCTCGACATGAACGCCGTGAGCTCCCTGCTGAGCAAGCCAGGGATCCGGGACATTGACGAGATCTCCTCAGAGCTCAAGAACTTGCACTCTGCGAAGGAGGCCCCGACTACGATCCATGCAAGGACGGTTGCTGCGAGGCGGCAGTTCCAGGCGTTCCTCAAGTTGCGGCTCATGCACTCCTTCAAGACTGTTCTCACCGATACTCTTAAGGCACGCGGGCCATCGCATCAACTTCCCCCCAGACTCATGCACTGTTTTTTCTTCCTGAAATGCACCATGGATGCGTGGTCAAGCGCCGCTGCCACTTGCCAATCCTGTGCTGTGCGTGTAAGGTGAGTGCTCGTATTGCTGAGATGGCTGACTTGCGTTGGCGGGATTTGCAAGGGGAGCGAGCTTCCCTTCTCTTGCCTGATCAATCATTGGGCGAATGTCTTGTATTCTGTATTCTTCATCCGTCATCGGTCATCGGGAAAACGCGTCGCCCTGTTTCGTCCTTCCCCGACCTGAGCATTCCATTATGTTATGTGTTCTGTGTTATGTGGTTATGTGTTATGTGTTATGTCTGTTTTGCTTCAGGCAGCGTGCCCGGCGGTGGAACAGAACGCGTTCACGGAGTCTCTGTTGGATGAGGTCTTGAGCAAGCTTGAAGACGGACGAGTGGGCGTTTGAACCAAACTTGGCGCATTGAGGAAGAGGCGGAGGAGGAGGAAGAGGAGGGGGATAAGGAGAAGGAGGAACAGCCGAGGAGGAGGAAGGAGATGCAGGCGAGGAAGGAGGGCCGCCGACCTCTCACCTTCCCTGCCGCGCGCTTCGGCCATTCCCTGGCGGCCCTCTTTGCCGCGAGCTTCCAGCGAGGGGCGCGTCGTGAATAAACGGCCCAGAATATCCTTTGGAGGGGGGGGGCGGTCTATGTTCTAACCCCAAACGCGTCCTCACTCACTTCACGTCGCTTTCTTCTCTCCCCCCTCCTGCCCCTCCCCGCCCTCCTCCCGCTATTCTTGCCCAGGGCGTCACCTGGAGGCGCTGGCCCAGAGCGTTAAGGGCAATGGCAAGGATAATGAGGACCTTGTGAAGTCCTTCTCGGTGGTTGCTCGGAGGTTTTCTGGCACCATCAGGCAGGCCGTTTCCAAATCAGCTAATTTGCCCGCTGTCGTCACTGGTGAGATTGCCAAGGACTTCAAAAAGACTGAGCTGACCAACTTCGGGGTTCCCTGATCCTACGACCTATGCTTCTCAAACTCATCACTCATCACTCATCATATAATAGGAGGAGGAGGAGAAGCAATTTGAGTCATATTACATATTACTTCTCCTGCTCCTCATCCCCGCTCCTTCTCCTCCTCCTCCTCCTCCTCATCCTCCTGCGTCGGTTCTGGAAGAGCTGGCCGTGGAGTTCGATGCGAAAGTGGCATCCAGGGCCAAGGAGTACGTCGAGGATTTGGAAGCCCAGGGCGGCCAGGATCTGAGCAATGCCATTGCTGGTGAGCTCAGCGCTATCCACGACTCGACCGAAGCCCCGCGTACGTTCCAGGACTTCGAGAGCATCCTGGCGAAATCGCACGTCCCGAAGGAGTTCTCGGATCTGGCGTTGTCCATTCGCATTTTAGGGGGCGCACTTCGCAGCCTGAGGGCAGCGAAGTCAGACGCGGCAGGCATGGACCAACAATCTACTGGACAGCTCTTTTTCAAGGCGAAGGTCCGCGACTCCGAGAAGAACATCTGCTCCGGGCTCCAGGCAGCTGGCCTCATCAAGCAGAATACGCCTGACCTCCCCGATACTCTAATTGACCAGACTGAGAAGAATAAGTGGTTGGAAGCAGCATCGTTCGGGCGGCTGATCCTCTTGGAAGTCTTCAAAGATCGGATTGAGAAGCCCGTGATCGCTTTGGATGAGAAGGCGACTGAGTTGGTGGCGGCTCTCAAGGCTATCCCCTCCGAGGCTCAGGAGACCAAGTTCGTCGAGCACTTGAACCGCAAGGCGAGCAGCAGCACGGAGTTGGCCAAGAAGCAGAAGGCTGTCGAGAGTGCGCTCAGCGAGGTGACATGGGATGTTGTTTGAAGGGGGGGAGCCGCTGATTCCTCAAGTGGGTGCATGCGGCCATGGGCCATGGACTATGGAGTACCGATGCACGGGCTGGTTGTTGCGACGACAGCCAGCCCGTGCATCGCTGCACCATAGACCATAGCTCCATCGCCGACTGCGCCCTGCAATTGCAAACCCAATATCATGAACCATGGATCATGATTGACGCCCTCCAGGTCAAGACGATCACCACTCGCTGCGGTGTCAATGATGATGATACTCAAGACATGTGGGGCTACAAGCACAAAAAAGAGAAGGCGGAGGAGGCCGTTCAGACAGTGAAAGGACCTCTGCCGACGAAAACAGTCACCTCCTCCTCCTTCTCTTCCTCCTCCTCCTCCTCTTCCCCCTTCATGTTCTCCCTCCTCCTGCCCCGCGCCCTCCTCCTCCTCCTCCTTCTCCTGCTCCTCCCTCTCCTCCCCCCTCTCCTCCTCCTGTCCTCCTGCCCCTCCCTCTCCTCGTCGTTGTCATCGTCGTCCTCCTCCTCCTCCTCCTCCTCCTCCAACCGTTTATCCCTCCCTTGGCGTCCTTGACGTCCTCAATCTCCTTCTCGGGCCATGTTGCTGCTATGCCCATGCCCCCCTATCGCCCTCCTTCTCCCCCTTCTTTCCTCTCCCCCCTCCTCTTCCTCCTCCTCCTCCCCCTCCTGCTTCTCCCCCTCCTCCTGCCCCCTCCTCCTCTTTCTCCCCCTCCTCTTCCTCCCGGGCGTTCTTCTTCTCCTCCTCCTCCTCCTCCTCCTCCTCCTCCTCCTCCTCCTCCCCCTCCTCCTGCTCCTCCTCCCCCTCCTCCTCCTCCTCCTCCTCCTCTTCCTCCTGCCCCTCCTCCTCCTCCTCCTCCTCCTCCTCCTCCTCATCCCCCTACCCCTCCTCCTCCGCCTCAGGGGTCATCGCGACGTTTGCCATGGTGGTACTGCTGCGCAACAAAGACGTGGCCACTAGCAAGGGCAGCGCCTTGCGGACCCACATGGAGGCTCGGATTAGGAGTAGGAGTAGGAGGAGTAGGCGGATGAGGAGGAATGCAGATAAGAAATATGAAAGAGGAGGAGGAGAAGGAGGAGGAGGAGGAGAAAGAAGAAGGGGATGATGATGAGGAGGAGGAGGGGGATGAGGAGTCGAAAGAGGATGAGGATGAGGATGAGTAGGAGTAGGAGTAGGAGGAGGAAGAGAAGGCGAAGAAGGAGGAGGAAAAGACGACGACTGCGAGGAGAAGGAGGAGAAGGAGGAGGAGGAGGCAGAGGAGGAGGAGGAGGAGGACAGGAGGAGGAGGAGGAGGAGGAGGAGGAGGAGGGTGGGGAGAAGGAGGAGGGGGAGGAGAAGGAGAAGAGTAGGGAGCGGAGGAAAGGGAGGAGGAGGAGGAGGAGTAGGCGGAGGCGGAGGAGGAGCAGGAGGAGGAGGAGGAGGGGGAGGAGGAGGAGGAGTAGGGATATCCGGGATAGCGTCGGGCACACATCGGCCGGCCGCCAGGGCGTCCTCGCGGCCGTGCCTCACGACACAGAGGCCAGGAAAGCTTTCATCGAGGAGGCCAGGGAGGCCCTCAAGGTCGGCAAAGCGGCAGAGGGCACAGCCGACGCCGCAAGCAGCAAGGCGGCGGATGGCGGCGCCGCACCCCCGCCTATGAAGAGGCCCAGGAAGAAGGCTTGAGCGGCTTGAGGGGGGGCTGCGGCAGGTCGACGCAGGCGAGGGTGTCCGTTGGAGTTGAGCCCCCCCCCTGATCGGGCGCGAAGATCATCGCGCCGCGCGCTTCGCGGCTTGGGCCGAAAGGGCGCCGTTCCCCAGGGCGGCAGCGCAAGGGCGCGAAGAAGGCGGCTGCGCCCGAGTAGGGGGCGTTCAATTCCAGCGGACACCCATGCCTCTTTGGAAGCTGGCGGCAGTCGGAGTTGCAAGCGAACAAGATCGGCTCAGCGTCGGCAAACATCCTCATCATGTTCTTCCTCTTCCTCCTCCTCCGTCTCCTTCCCCTTTGCTGCTGTATGACACCACATGGTTAGACGTATGCATAAGCTACATGTTTATACACGTATGCATGTATATATATATGTAATATGTACTATAATGTTATCATACATATTATGTGATACACACATATATATATATATATATATATATATATATATGTATATATATGTATATATATACATATATATGTAAACATACATCCACATATATATATGCATACGTATATGTACATATGTATATCTGATATATGTATGTATATGTACGTCTATGACCAGGCCAGGAACAGCTACTAAGGCCTTTAAGCCGTGCTAATCTAAGAACATTGTTTTTGTTTTTAGAATAATTTTAGGTTCTAAGAACATTTCGTGGTATGACTATAGGACTGCCGGGACGGTCGGTCCCTGCTCAAAGGGGGCTCGGGCGCTTCGTCACGGGAGGGCGAGGAGTCCCAGACCTCCGGGCGTTGTTCCTGGGCTTGGGCCCTCGGGCCCGCCAGCGGGCCCCGTGGCCAAGCCTGGATCCAGGACGCAGGGGCTGTCCCCAGGGATGGTCGGGAGCCTTGGGGCCGCGGGTGGAGCAAATATCATGCCAGAGGATGTCTGGGAGGGGGGAGGGAGGGAGGGGGCCACATCCACTGCCCCCTGGTCAGGCCCTTCCTGGGCCGGGCCCAGGAACTGTGCATGCGCTCTCCTGGCTGAGCCAGGAGGGCGTGGCGTACACACATCCTCGAAGTAAGAAGCCTAGGGTGCAGGAAGGCGAGCGGGACGAACAGAGGCGCGGTGCGTGTCAACGTGAGCTTGGTGTGGCGAAACGGAGTAGCAGCGGCTGGTGCCATGTGTGCAGGCAGCCTTGGAGTTGGAGTATTGTAGTATTTGTAGTTGACCCCGCGGCCAGCCAAGTGGCGAAGGGAGGGCAGGTCAGTTGTCCATGTCTGCGGCAATCGAAGCACAAGTGGCACTTGCGGTCGAAGTCGTGGTATTGCCTCGTATGAATCCGCTAGCTGCGCTTTGTCGGGTGCTGTAGATCGCTCATGCGGTGTTGTTGTCGTGTCGGTTGATCTGCGGCATGGGTTTCGGAGGTGCCTTGTATAGTCGTGGCATTGCCTTGTACGGTGGTGCGTTCTTGAGGGGTGCGTCGTGCTGGCTGTTGCGCGTGTGGAGGCTGGCGGGGTATTGCTCTTATCGTGTTTAGTGCGAGCGAATTGTGTCGATGTTCTCGTGGAAGCGCGGGTCCCCAACGTTGCGCACGAAGATGTGTCCACTGCTGTGTGTCACATTGTGTTGCAGGCAAATGGCGTATATAGCGGACTCCTGGCTTATTTGTGTTGGGAAGTATATTTGTAAGGTGGCGTATGTCTGCGGCGCAAGGCAGTGCATCGGCACCTCTTGTAGCCATCGCTGCGTCGAACATTTCTCGTAGGGCGGGCAGACAATGGGTAGTTTGAGTGTTTGAGGCGGTGGGTGCACTGGTATGGCTGCCTTTGCTGTAGGTAACCATGTGGTGTCAGTCTTGAGCTGTGGTATTGCAGGTGTGTTTGCGGTTGGGCTGTGGATGGTTCGGGTGGTCTTCGTAAGTGGATGTGCTCTGTTGATGAAGTAAATGGATGGCAATGGTGGTGGTTGTTTGGCTGGTGGTGTGTGTTTGGTGGGAGGTGGTGCAGGGGTTTTTGTGTGTCTGTGGGCGATCTCCTTGGTAGTTGTTGGCGTGTGTTCTATGGTTGGTGGGGGGACGGTATAGGTGGTGGTTTCTCGGCAGGTAGCTTGTGCTTGGATAAGGTTGGAGCGGGTGGTGTTGCTGGTCAGTGTTCCGTCGTGGTTTCTCGGCAGGTTGGAGCGGGTGGTGTTGCTGGTCAGTCGTCCGTCGTGTTGGCGGTTGTCGGAGTGCCCTCTTCACTTGTGCTGTAGTTACTGTCGGTAGCGTAGGCCTGGTAGTGCTGGGGGCTGGTAGTCCTCCTCCTCCTCCTCCTCCTCCTCCTCCTCATCCTCATCCTCATCCTCCTCCTCTCTCCCTTCCTCCTCCCTCCCTCCTCCTCTCTCCCTTTCTTCTCCCTCCTCTCTCCCTCCTCCCTTCCTCCTCCCTCTCTCCTCCCTCCCTCCCTCCTCCCTCCCCTCGTCCCTCCTCCCTCCTCCCCCCCTCCTCCCTCCTCCTCGTCCTCCTCCCTCCCTCACCCCCTCCCTCCTCCCTCCTCTTCCTCTCCTCCCTCCCCTCCATCCCTCCCTCCCTCTCTCCCTCCTCCCTCCTCTTCATCTCCCCTCACTCCCCCCTCCCTCCCTCCCCCCCTCCCTTCTCTCCCTCCTCCTCTTCCTCCGGGTCGGGGGGAGGGGGGCACCGCAGAGCGTCGATCATCGAGGTACCTGAGCCTCGATTCTCGACCCTCGACCCTCGATCCTCGACCCTCGAGCCTCGACCCTGGACCTGGATCTGGGAGCCCTCGACTCCCGAACCTCGACCACCGCCTCGTCGGCGCGCTGCCCCAGGGACGCAGCGACGGCGGTTCCTCTGGGGGTCACTCCCGGCGCGGGCGGCGGGCCCCCGGCGCCCGCTGCGGAGCACGGAGGCGGGCGGCCAGGACGCCGCTCGAAGCACAGAAACGGCAGAAGCATAATCTTTCGATGGTTACCAGTTTGAAACATATTGTTTGACATCACCTCACCTCGATGCCGATCTTAAGGATTCCCTCAGTTTCTGAGGGCCTATCCCCAAGATTGTCCTCGCTCTTTGCTCGCCAATCTTGGGGATGGGGATACGTTCGAGGCTGGTTAGATGGTCCGCGCGGATTTCTTTGATCCGCATCGGGTCCCCCTGACGGCGCCTCCCGCGCCACCCCTTGGCGCGCTCCGCGCGCCAGGGAGGGTCGGGGGGGTCGGCGCAGATCCGAGAAGTCCGCGCGGACCTCCTGAATTGCAGGTTGCTGTTGCTTCTTCGTCCCCTAAGGACGCCACGTCTTTCCTACACAGAGCTCCCAGAGCTCCCCTCCCCCTCCTCCTCCTGGCGCTGATC